GTGCTCTCTGCTCCTTCTGATGGCAAAGCAGCAACACAGCCTGACATCTGCAGCAGAGGGCAAAGACACATTGAAGCCACTTGCTAACAAGGTATTTTGCCTTAGTTGCTCATAGATGTTCAATGATCTTACTACTACATTGAAGTCTGTAAATACTGAACAGTCTAAATCTGTAAAAACTGTCCAAGCTAAGGACTTTGCTTTTTTAAAGCAAAGATACTCTGCCCTTTGTGAAATCAGGGACTGGAATGCATTGCAGCCCTTGGAGAATATCATCAAGTGTCTGAAGTGCCTCAGTGGATCTCAAGCACTAGTTAGCACAGCAGAAGTTGTATTTAAAATGGTCTTCACCTGAGAGAGGCTGCAAAAGTCTTCTGACCTGTAACTGAGTCATAATGAAGAGAAACAAAGCCTCACGTAATATCTGTTCAAAAGTCATCACGAACTATGGAAAACCAGAGACTGGTATGGTTTAAATAGTGTTTGACTTCAAAAACAAACATTTGCAGAAAACATATTAGAATAAATTATTGAATATTTAACAGATGAACTGAATTTTGCTTCAATGTATATATTTTGGATCCCGAAGGTTTTAACTGCAAGATTTTATTATAAGGTCAACTGCAAGACTATAAGGTGAAGGAATGGTTTATGTCTGAAGCAGATTACTTAAAATACTATGTTTCTATGTATGTATCTATGTATGCATGAATCTGTGTATGTATGTATCCATTTGTCTATCAACCTATGTCATGCTAATTCTAGACATGCTACAATTAATAGTCAAAAAGAGCAGATAAAGATACCTTATTGCTGAGATGATCAATTAATTAAATCACATATTTCTAGACTGAGATTAAAACCCCACAATAGTAGATATTTTTTTCCCACTTGCGTAGATGGGGAAAGAAGAGAGAGAATGAAAGGTATGAATTAAAATACACCCAATAGGTTTTCACGACCTCCAGCATCAGTTGCTTTGCTGCTTCCAGGTAATGCTGTCTAATTTTTAAGTTGCAGTTCATCGATCCAGTGGAACTGATACTGCTAACAAACTATCAGCTTTTTGCCATAATAAATAAAAAAATTACTATTTATGAAAGAGTCCTATAAAACTATATACAGATTCAATCCAGGAAGTTTTTTTTATATGCAATGACAGTCTGTAAATTATGAAAAGTAAAAACATGGGATTTGGCACAACACGATCTTATATCTGGTTCGTTCCATAATTCCATAGTAGTGATGTGATGTTTAATAAAATCTATCTTCTCAGGATACCTGTATAGAATCAAATTAGTCCATTTTTATGTAAGAGATAACTAAAAATGTCATGTTAATTCTGGTACAGTTTATATGTCAATCATCTGAACTCCACAAATTCTTGAAATTAGTGGCTTTTGGTGATGCCATTCATCTGTGCTTTACAGCACTGTTTTGAGTAAGTGTGGTTATGCACTTTGGGGTAGGTTCTTTGTGTTGCTCTTTCATGAACTGCTTTTATAAGCACTTTTGAAGAAAATGGCAAGAGATTATGTTTGGGTTTGACCAAGAGGGTATCTGTCTTTATTTTATTCTTCCAGAGTAGAGAGATGGTCACTTGGTTTGGGAAACGTTAAGTTTTATTAGTTTCTTATTAGATTGTCCTTGCTAATTTTAACAATCAAGCTTTTCATTATTGGGTAATTGTTGTTATGGAAAGATGAGGGATGTCTGGCAATAGGACTTTCCTGATGGATGCTCAGAGGTTGGGAAGCCCTTGGATTAGCTAACCCTTGGATTAGCTAACCTCTGTTGGTTATTCCCTTCCCAGAACCCAAACTATCTAATCAATCCATTCTTAACACTGTTCACTCTTATCAGAAAGTTCTTCTGAATGTCTGACTTGAACCTCCATTACTGCAAACTACTGCCCTTGCTTGCTTTTTCTGCTGGACACAGGGAACAGATGTAGTCTCCTCTGCTTTTTGTATGACTAGCGTGGTTAAAATTTTGAAAGAATAGTTTGAGGATTTGGAGTAGAGAGCTGACATTCAGCAGGCAGGTTGGTATTTTTGTCACATCTCTCATGACTTTTCCAGACTAAACTGCCCCAGTTGCAATTTCTCATAGGTCATATGCTACAGATCTTCTCATTATCCTTCCTGTTCTATTTTGGGTTCTCTGGAAATTTCTTGCAGAGTGGTTCCAACACAGGACTACCTCTGCAACTTTAGTGCTGTCAGGAAATATAGTGCTGAATATTACAGATCTCTCTAGTGTATATATCTCAGCATAAACTTTGTCTAAAGGATTCATGTTCTCTGCCCTCCTTCCTATTGTCACAGATGAAACAATTTAAGAAAAATCTCTTCCCTATTTACATTTAAACTATGTTGTTATCCTTCCTATCTCTTTTTCCATTTCTGGCTTTCCAGATACACACTCCAATCCCCTTAAATCCACACAAAGCTAAGACTGCCTTTCCTTTCTTGCACATATTTGTATTGCATTCACTTCTATCCATTTTCAATCTATCTGGTGCCTTCCCTTTCCGCCAGCTCAATTTCAAATTTTTGGACTCATCATCAGTATTCTGTCACACTATCTTTTCCAGTATTACAAGTCTCCAATACTTTTTTCTCTTCACACTTCTTGTCAACCTTTATCTTTCCATTTGTCAATTTTTCATGCAAGTACCTTCACATCTCTTTCCTCATATTATTACAAATGCAAACCTGCCAAGTAAAACATAAAAAGATCATACTGTAAACCACATTCGAGTGATTGCTGGGGCTTCCTGTTTAATATTTTAGGTACCAGAAACTTAATAACTGGAGGATTTTATTATCTGGGTAAAGACACACACTTTATTTAAAATAAAACACCTACTTATGCACTGTAAAATTATTACCTGCTAGCTAGTTTAGCTTTTACCAGTTATTCAGAATGTTTGACCCTAAGATCTTACCTCTTTTGCATATAACTTTGCCACCTTTGAAACCTTTGATCTGACATGTTTTGAAGAAAAGCATCTTCTACCCACTGAGTGGTTATAGAATAATGCATAATGCAGCTGTTTCTGGAAAATATGTTAATAATGCCCTGCAGGTATTCTGGGGCTTTTTATTTGAAATATGCAAGAACTTTCATGATTGAGAGGAGAGATTTAATATTTGTTTGGAGGTGATCCCAATGGTGATGTGCTGTTTTCTGTATTCATGAAAATTGGGCAAATTTGGTTATGGATACAAGTTACTTCATATGTGTCAGGACCCTGGGGGCACTAAAAGACCTTGAAGGCCCTGAGAAGCCTCATCTGGGGGCTCTACCCCACACCCTCTGCCCATGGGCTCAGGGGATCTATTTAAGCTTCACCACTCGCACCTTCTCCCTGAAGAACCTGTCCCTGGATCTGGACCTAAGGATGCTGCCCTCCTTTTTGCCAAAGGGATGTGAAATGGTGAACACTGAGAGTATTCACCCATGGAAGCACATTTGATCTTCAGCCAGGTCTTGAAATGTAACAGCCTCTCTGCAATAATGTTCTGCTTATACATTAATTGTTCATTTTTGTGCAATTGTAAAGAGAGAGCGCTGAAAGTAGTTAAAACAGAGACTTCCATGCTGTGGCAATAACTGTATGATCTTGAATACCACTGGCATCAGACTTAATTCTTAGACATTATAATTATGTGAGGGCTCATTTTCTGTGAGTTTGCTCTCACTTGTCTTCCCTATTTAATGTACATTATAATATTTAGTACTTTTCTTCCAGGCTTGAATAGGAATATTGTATTAGGCAAGCAGGTGATGAGATTCTGCTCTCTGTTCCAGTTAGTGTAATTCCACCAATTCTGGTGGAGTTACTAGGATTTGCTGTAATTTAACTGCAATCAGAATTGAATTGTGTTCATTTAAGAACGAAAAAAAAGTATCTCTGGATGTTCATTTCATAGACCTTCTTTTCTGTCATAATGGAAGTTGTTAGTGTGTATTCTAGTTTCTATTTCATGTTTGTATTTCAGAGCCTTAACATCCCAATAACGACTTTATTCTCTTCATCCTGGTGTTAGCAGGTAATTCAGGTAGGAAATTAAAAAGAGCTGTGCAGTGAACAAGCCTGGTAAGGAAAGAATCTACCCTCTTAACATAAATGTCTGCATCATCTTTATTGATAAACAAATGGAGAAGCATCTATTTCTTCATACTTCTATCAGTTAACTACATGTTTTGAAAACAAAAATCTCTTGTTAAAATGATAACTTGAGATTTAAAAAAAAAATTTAATTTATGAAATATGTGCTCCTCTAGGAGTTTAGTCCTCCAAACAGTTAAGTAATTCACGTTGAAATGCCACATGAATAGCACAGTTTAGTAAGCAGTTGCTGAAGTGGTCAGAGCTGCATCACATTAGATGTAAAAACCTTTAGTTAATTTAGTGATAACATGCATTAATTCAGACCAACATAAGGATTAAAAGTAAGATAATGGAATACTCTGGGTTTGTAGGAAACATACACACTCATATCCTGAGTAGTATGCACACACATACACAGTTCTCCACAAAGACAATCTGTACTTAACAACAATATGATAATGTTCAGGCATTTTGAGGTAGACATAGTACAGGTGAATTTGCTACCTCGCTATAATCCGTCATTTACTGGCACTGTTTTTATAGAACTACTCTTAGTTTAATCAGATTTTTTACATCATCAAAAAAAAAACAAACCCAAACAAACCCAACCAGAAGCTTAATGTGTAATGTCTGAACCTGAAAGTTTTAACTCTTTGTCCTCTTGCCTTTGTAGCATATCAAGCACGCCCTAGACATAAAAAGGAAGACAAAACTTCTCAATACAGCAATTATTTTGTCCATTTAACTTAGTTTTCATACTATAGTCCATTTGTGCTTTGCCATGTTAATATATACTACTTTTTATATTACCTTGGAATTCTTGCAATGAGGATACAGTATTTTCTATTAATAACCAAAACGGAAAATACATATTTGTCACCTTTTGTTGAAATCTGGGAGTTTCCCGAGCTTCCTCTTCTGTGCCGTGTTTTTGGCTGCCTACCATCTTCATTACTGTGCTTCTCTTGCACTTTTCTCTGCAGCTATCACACTTGCCTTGAGAGAACCTTGGTGGCTCTGAACTGCACAGCAGAATTCCTGCTTCTTGCACTTAAAAAGAGAATTGAGCAAAGGTCATGCCAAGTTGTTCTTGTATGAATGTCCCAAGGGAGGTTAAAGATCAGCTCAAAGTAATCTGCTGTGATAAAGACGTTTAGCAGAGGAAGTCCCAAACCTTGCTGGGCTGTTTTTCTCCCTCAAAAGTAAGCCCATCCCTTACTCCCCCCCCTCTTTTTCCCCCCTGCAGGATTTAAATATGCTTGTTATGCTTTGCTGTGGGAAACAGATGCGTTCTTGTTATGGCCAGGGATGAATGTCAGGATTGAACTCGCATCCATGAAAAAGTCTTTTGTTTGATCTGCGCTGTCCCGCAGTGGAGCTATGGCAACAACTTCAGCTGGGGAAATTAACTGTATCACTGTGTACCCGCTCAAATCACGGCATCACCTGAATGACAAACATGCCACTGTTCACATGACAGCTGACAAAGAGCAGTATTTAATTTTAATCAAAAGGAATAAAATCCAATCAATTAAAAAATCCAAAGCATGTGAAAGCTAGGTATGTGTGAAGTGCAGTAGCACTCTATTTTTACTCAAACTGAAGAATTTAATGATATTGCTATTTTATAAATGTTTCTCTATTGTAGCTTAAAAAAATTTAGTAACTTGTGAATTTGAATCTCACATCATGCTTGGTGATGTGATCTTGTTTTGTGCACGTGTTTAAAAAAAGAATTAAACCAGAGAGTGGCACACTGCACTGAATGAGAGGCTGTCTGTAGGTGTCATGGTTTAACCTGGCAGGTAATCAACCACCACACAGCCACCCATCCCCCAAGTGTGATCTGGGAGAGAATTGGGGGAAAAAAACGTAAAATATGAGGGTTGAGATAAAGACAGTTTAATAGGACAGAAAAGGAAGGGAAAACAAGAATAACATTAATTAGAATATACAAAACAAGTGATGCACAGCACAATTGCTCACCACCTGTTGACTGATGCCCAGCCAGTTCCTGAGTAGTGGCCTCTGGACAGCTTTCCCCCTAATTTATATACTGGGCATGATGCCATATGGTATGGAATATCCTCTTGGCTAGCTGAAGTCAGCTGTCCTGGCTGTGTCCCCTCCCAGCTTCTTGTGCCCCCCAACCTCCTCTCTGGTGGGTTGGGGTGAGAAGCTGAAAAGTCCTTGACTTAGCGTAAACACTGCTCAGCAACAACCAAAACATCAGTGTGTTATCAGCATTATTCTCATCCTAAATCCAAAACACAGCCCTGTACCACTTACTAGGAAGAAAATTAACTCTATCCAAGCGGAAACCAGGATGGCAGATCAGACAGGCATTCTTCCTGTAGCTGTCAGTGTGTGGGTTTGCTACAGTTAAGTTGGCCTAATAACCAGCTAGTGAGAGAGGGGGGTCTCATTCTGTCTGGGAATGGGCATTCTGGCTGTCAGGGTATCCATCCTCTTTGGCATCAGGGAGCTGCCACAGTTCATGGGGTGGTTCTTCTGCTTCCATGTAAGACTAGGTCCCACAGTGGGATAGTGTTGTACTAGGAACTGGGTATGTAAAGAGGATTGGTGGGTTTTTTTACTTCTCTCTTACCAATGCAAAGAAGTCCTTGTGGAGAAGGAAAATAATTTTCAGTTTCAGAACCACATAAATCTTCTCTTCTAGAGAGTAGAAAACAATCAGTATACTCAGGCCAAATAATACTAGTTCACACTTCTGCAACAGCATATCAGCTTAAGGACAGAGTCCTGTGGTGCCACCTGCCTTTTTAAGAAGCTGGAGTCAGGGCCTGCAGATTTTCATGAGCAATAAGTGCTTCTCCACAACATTCTGCAAATGGAGATGGCAGGATTTTTGGGTAATGGCTGGCCAACAGTGATGGTTTTGGACAAAAGATTGAGGTTAATCTGTGGTGAAACAGCACAAACCTCACCAGTTTCCCTGGGTTTGTACATGCACAGGCAGACTGATCTATGCCCTTTTAGAGGAGAGGAATCGTAAAGCTTCAGTTGTCTTAACTGAGGACTTAAAAAACTTCTCCATCTATACTTGAAACTGAAATATTTCCTTTTCTGGACACAGTTCTTGCTCCTCAGCTGAAGGCTGATGTGTAATACTCTTGATAAATGCAAGTGAAGGTATCTCTGCAGCACCCAAATGAACAGAACATACTCCACCTCCCCACCCTGACAAAGTCAGGGGTATGCAAGGGCAAAGCTCTAATGGATTTTTTCTCAGGGCCCTCCACAGACTTGGCCTCTCAAGAAATCCAGTCTGGAACTATTTTTTTTTTCATGTCTAGTAAAGAAGATTAAAAAAAAAAAGGACAAGGGATTTGGGAAATAGGAGGCATCCATTATAATGTAACTATATATAGTTATATGTAACTACATATTCATGTATATAAAACTACATATAATATATAAAGTTCATATATATATATTTCACATATGTGATATATTTTATATACATATATAACCCCCCATATTTTGTGACTAAACTGACCAACAACCTCTCTCTGAGCAGACTAAGGAGTAATTTACTGAAGTTCCTGAAACTTACGACAGAGTATAATGTCTACTTTAAATATGTAAAAACGAAACCACGGTTCTTATGGATCCTCATCTGTCATGATCACTGTTGGAGCTTCAGTGGTTACCTCTCCATGGAAATCGTGTGGGAAATGCCGGTTTCTCCCAACGGGGATTGATCTACCGCTGATGATGTTGCAGGTGCTCCTTGACCCTCACACTGCAGTCTGACTCCAACTTTTAGGCAACTGGCATCAACCACCGCCTCCTCCCAGCTCAGGTGCTGCATTTATACATGGTTTTATACATGGTATTTATACATCACTATTTATGACACGGCATTTGAACATGGCTTTGCCCCAGCTGCGGCACCGAACCAAGTACGGGCTATGGGCCCCTGCAGCATGTGGGGCCCTGCTCAGATCCCTCAAACGCAACTCGCGGGATGGGATCAGCTATGCCCTCCCCGCCCTCTCGGGCCCTTGGGACCAACGAGCGCCCGCAAAGCCGCGGCTCCAGCGGCGGGCGCGGGCCCGGCCCAGGCCTCGGCCGCGGCCCGGCGGCGCAGGCCTCGCCCAGGAAGCGGCTCCGCCTGGCCTGGAGCTCCCCTCCCGCTCCGGTCACCGGGCGTGGCCGAGGCGCCCGAACCGAACCCCCTCCCATGGCCGCGCGCGCCCTCCCCTTCCCTCCCCTTCTCTTCCCGCGCCCCGGGGCGGCCCCGCCGGCCCCGCCCCCGCCCCCGCTGATTGGCTGCGGCCCCGGCGGCGGCGCGCGGGGCTCCCGTCTCGCGCCACTTTCGGGAGCCTTTGGCGCGAGCGTCATGGCCGAGAGCGGCGCCGAGGGCCGGGACGGTGAGACCCGGGGGCGGCCCGGGCCCCTCTCCCTCCTTGCCCTCCCTCTCCGCGGCGGCCGCTGCCGGCGGCGTTTCGGTGCCAGGCGGGGGACGGCGAGCGCAGCGGTGCTGGCGGCGGGGAGGGCGGGCGGGCGCGCGCCGGGCGCGGGAATGCGCGTGCGCGGCGGGCGGTCGCGGTGGTGGCGGTGGCACCGCTCCGGGAGGGTCCCGCGTCCCCCCGCCCTGGGGAGGGCTCGGCGGGGCCGTACCTGCCCTGCCCGAACGGGGGGACCCTCTCCCGGCAGGCGCGGAGGGGAGCGGGGGAGAGGTGTTACACCCGATGCGGGGGACACGGGCCGCACGGCCCCGCACCGCCCCCCGGCCCCGCTGCCCCGCGCCGGCGGAGCATCCCCCTAGGATGAGGGGGCTGTCCCAGGATCGCCACCGAGGGCCGCGCTGGCGATTCCCGGCGGGGGCAGCGGCGGGCGCGGGTGGTGCAAACACATTGGTCTCAGAGCAGCGTGCTTTCTGACAGCAAACGCAAAGATTTGGCAGAAAATAAACGCACCCGGACTGTGACATCTTCGCAGTTCTCTCATATGGGGTACCACACAGTGTAAATACCCCTCTTTTAGCTCAGCCTGTAGCAATACAAACCTGTACTTGTCTCAGCCACAGTGCCTGGGTGCAGCTCTGCTCACAGTTCGATCTCCTGCTGCCACCGGGAGGGGACTGTCCTGCTCCTCTGGACACCTGGCCAGCCTTGGTCACCACGGGGTGTTTAGCTCCTCACACAAACCCCGCGGTCTCGTCCCTAGGCTGTTTGTTTGCTGCTATAATTTGGATTGGGACCACTCGTTCTCTGTGGTCAGATAAATGGTCCCCCCGCCCATCAAGACAGGGAGAAAGGTCGGGAGAAGTGGAGAGCGCCCTGCTGTGGGGAGCGTTTTTAAGGGAAGGAAGTATAGGAGGAAATGGGGTGTCAGTCCTATGCTGTCAAGAAGTTACTAGTTCGTCTCAATCTGGCTGCACTATTAAACATTGTGAAACCACCTAAAAACCCATTACTGCCTTGTAGCAGTGTAGGCCTTCTCTTAAGTCTGTCTATTGCTGAGTTGTCATGGAGACATGCAAAATAAAAGGAGCTGGAAGTTCCCAAGAAAGGAATGGGGGGATCCTTCTCAGATAATGGTTGATGAGGTTTGAGAGGTTCTTTGGAAACAGGTGGTAGCTTTGTGCTGAATATGAGTTGACGTGAAGTCTTTTTTGATCTCCTTACTTGTCAGGCCACGCCTTCAGTATAATTCCAGAGTTGGCTTATTAAGAGCCATCCATGACTGTGTGCTTTTAGACTAGTAGGTCTTTATCTTGATTTTAAGTGAAACTGTAGTCATCTATTAATGCATCACTGAATACTAAGTACTAAAGATAACAGCAGCTCATTACTAGACTTAATTCTCTTCTTTTTAATTAATTGCAGCTATGCATGAGTCTGGAAGTTTTGCAGCATCACGTTCTAGACGTGAGAGGAAGAATAGAAGAGGCCAGCAAGAAGCACTTGAACGTCTGAAAAAAGCCAAAGCTGGTGAAAAATTAAAATATGAGGTGAAAATTCCTCATCTTTTCTTCCTCATGAAAAGTAAATGTGAGCTGAGAGGCTTAACCATTGTTTATAGATATGTAAAAGTTACAGGAAACAAAATAAGCCTTTCAGATCAGCTTTTGTGTTTTCAGTGGTGTATGTTTTTCAGAATGTAGCTGTAGTTGTTTTGCTGCTTTCTGGTATAATTTATTTGTTCTTTCTGTTTTCAAAACTAAACCAGTTTTATTGACTGCAGGTCAAACGTGTTGCCACTGCTTGAGAACTATGCCGTAAGGAAGGACCAATTTTTAAAATTTAATTGCATAATTAATGTTATGATAGGAAGTACTTTTTTTAACTTCAAATTATTTTAAACTTTAAATTAATTTTAGAGCTTTACATGGCTGAAATCCATTAATATTGGTGTGCTGTATTTCCAGAAAGAGACCAAAATTTAAGTATTTAACTGGTAGAACTGAAATCTGGCAGTGTAACATTGCTACTGTCTAATTGTGATGCTGACAGGAAATGTGACTTCCACATTGAGGTGGATACATGTAAAGAAACCTGAAGACCGTGGATCATTAACATGCAAATTTTCTCTGAGGCACAGAAAAGCATCTTCAGCATCATGCTTGGGTACATCAAATAACCTTCCTTTTCACTGAGCTCAGCTTGGTGTTTAAGAGTAGAGCCAAGGTCCTTGCTTGGATTTTTATTATTTTTAAGTTTTGTTTTGAAAATATGAAATGAGCAATAAAGGAAGTCAGTTTCAAATGAAATCCCTGCCAGTGTTTCAGTAGATTTTGAGTTTCAGTATGGTGTGATAATTTTAAAAATTGATAATTTGTCTTTTATCAGTGCCAAAAAAGAAACTTAATAACTGTGCTTACTAGTTGTGAACCATGTAGCACTGTAGGAAACCGTGCATTTCTTGGGAACCTTTGTGTTCTGATGATCTGTGTTAATAATTAATGGTATGGAAACTGTTAATCCTCAGTATACCTTAACTGTAGGTTGAGGAGTTCACAGGTGTTTATGATGAAATAGATGAGGATGAATACTCCAAGATGGTCAGAGACCGTCAGGATGATGACTGGATTGTTGATGATGGTAAGTTAAGATTCATTTAGGGAGTTACTTTGGTTATGGTGTTATAACTCAATGTACATGATTTGAAGTAAGTTATAGTTAGTACATTCTTAAAAATTTTTTTAGGGGACAAGAAAAAAGCAATCTTATTAGAATTAATCTTTGCATTGTTCTCATTGTAGTGTATTGGGATGGTAATGAAAATATTTTTCAACGAAGACCTGTTCTTGAAATTTTATTTCCAGTTATCAGTGTTATAATTTTACCAAAAAATACTGTAATTGATAATTTCTAATTAAACACATAACAGTATATTTAGTCTAGTAGAAGATACTGCTGGGAGTGCTGTGGTTTTTAACACTTTAGCATTTGTAACTTTTGCTCTATATTAGAGGGGCAAAAGTGTTTAAGTATGTGAAAAATTATTTAGGAGTATCAGAAGACAGAATTTAAACTGTAAGTTTTCAACTCTTTGTTTTTCTGTAGATGGGATAGGTTACGTAGAAGATGGAAGAGAAATCTTTGATGAAGATCTGGATGATGATGCTCTCAGTTCCAATAAGAAAGGTAAGTTGAACATGAACTGTGGAATGTCTTCCAGGGACTTTTAAGTAATACCTAAAATGGGCAACTTCTTGACATCAGCATGTGGTGAATGTGGCCAAATGACATGTTACTTGAAGCTCTGTCATTGTCTGGCTGTGGATTTTGTTCAGACCCCATGATGCAGAAGATGAAGGTTCACAAATTGAGGTCAAATCATTGTTAACTACTTCAACACTATTGGGGCAATTCTGCTTACAGTCTTCTGTGGAATATCTATTTACTTCTAGAACAAATGCATCTAGGAGTGGGCTTGGTTTTCAAAGCCAATGCCTAAGAGATGTGTGGTCTCTCTTGGCCACTAAACACCTGCATGCTTTAAAGAATCTGGGATCACATGATTTTCCCAAGTTTTATGAGGCTGGTGGAAAACTGAGAAACTGAATCTGATGTTGAGAATCCAAGCCTAGTGCCAAACATGTGGACATTCTTTTTTTTTTTTTTTCCAGGAGATGCTTCCATGTAAAGTATCTTGGTCCTTTTCCTGGAGTATGCACTTGAGTAAGAGCATCTCTGATGTGACTAGGAAAGATAGGGTGCTGATAGGGTTTTGCTATTTTTTGTGTGTGCATGACAGCTCTTAAAAAGCTGAAGATGATCAGGCTTCATTTCAGCCAGCAGTGTAAAGGTGGAAGAAGTGGACTACTTTGGCTGTCTCTTCCTGCTAATAACTGGACCCTTAAACATTGAGCTTTTCTGATGTAAAATTCACAATTTATTTTTTTTTTCTGTAGGAAAAGGTGGCAGAACATCTACGGTTGATAGAAAGAACATGAAAAAATCTGTGGTGTCAAAGCCAAACACAATCAAGTCTATGTTTATAGCCAGTGCTGGGAAGAAAAACACAGATGTAAGTTTTTACATTTTTGAATTTAAATGTTTCTGACTTGTTTAAAGTGTTTTAGTGGGAGTGGAATAAGCCAAGGGCTCATTTCAGTTTCTTGTGCCTAGTAAGACATGAACATCTATTACGATCTCCTGTGTATGCAGCATTTCTGAAAAAGTTGTGTGGAAACTGTTTAGTCATTTGCTGCTGGTCTCCCGATTAGGTTTGCACATGTAACTGAGAACTGTTTGGCTAATCTTACCTTGCAGAAAACTGTGGACCTGTCGAAGGATGATTTACTAGGGGATATTCTTCAAGATCTTAATGCTGAAGTAAGTATAGTAATGAAATCTGCTGGAAACACCTTAATTGGTTCTTTTTTTTTGCC